CGCGTTTTTGGAGAAACTCTTGAAATATCATTTTTATGGAAGTTGTTCATATTGGTAGGAAGACTTAGAGGAACGCACCTTGTCCTAAGTCCATTGTATGTATAATTATTTCCAAAGTCGAACCGTGGACGTGGTACATTCCCAGACGTTACGTCGGCATCCTCAGTGAGTCTTGCCATTCGTAGCACCATATTACAACTTGTCAAAGAGACTATGAATGGCGAGACTCACTGACAATGCCAACTACGATGCCGGCAGAACGTCTGAGAATGTACCACGTCCACGATCCGACTTTGGAAATAATTATGCATACAATGGACTCAGGACAAAATGCATTCCTACCAATATGACCAAGTTGTGAAAACAAGGTCAAACAACTTATATACAACGAAATGAGACTGCGACCACACAAAAGGCCACTCCATCTTATCTTCATATCTTCGATCATTTTTATGGCTTACATTTAATTTCGTGTGAAACAATGTGAGTATGGCTACATAGATTGGTCTCACCAGAAGACGACGGAGGATTCCGCGTGCTCTGCTGTCGTGTTAGTTTCATGGGAAGATCAAGAGATACCCACTTCCGGTTGTGGTGAAGACGTGCTTAACTCTAGTCTTTCATACCAGCCATGAGAGAGATGTTCGTAATGACAAGGTTCACCAGGGGTGGGGCACAATCTACAAGCAATGTCACATTTCTGAGGTAAAATGAACTCAACACACGTGAAAAACTGTCTGCAAGAAATTTTCATCGTGATCGAGCAACAGACAGATCTGAATGGTAACCGCATTTGATACTCATTATTATTTTTTAAAAATAGCAAATTACCTCTAGCCAAGTTTGCCTGCGAATGGCTTGATTTCCATTGGAATAATTAGTAAGAAAAAGTCGAAACTCAACCTACTCGGGATGATATACGTGCAGGGAAAAGGATTTAGTTAATCGTTTGCAAAAACCCATTGGCACAAATGGTATACGCCCAGTTCTGATATGCTTTGACGCTGTGCATGTGCGTGTCCCAACGACAGATGTGAGGAAGTGGGGGGTAAATGGGGTTGCAGATGGGTAAGTCGATACTTGTAAGACTCATCAAACGCAGGAAGATCCCGTGTAGGCAAATTTTAAAGAGGCAGTATGTAGGAGTAGGCGGCTGACAAGATTTTCAAAAAATATAGCTATTTGATGAAAATAAGGCATAGGACAAACATTGGCAGTAGTCAATGCCGTCACCATGACAACACAATAATTCACCAGTCAGCAAAATGGATGAAACAGACATGGCCATGGGTTCGACGTTAATCAGCGTCATCTAATGTGACATTGAGTAGGGGGAGATAATGCGAGAACTCGTGTATTATGACCGGATTTAATAGTTTAGTTAGTCTGCATTACAAACATACATTTAGGTTGTATATATAAATAGATAGATGGATATATAGATATATGCATGTATGCACGCATGTCTATGCCTGAATGTGTTGGACCACTTGAAGGGATACGATTAAAGAGGTAACTTTCGTTTCATTAGAAGATCTTTGAAGAAAAGAAGGGAGGAGGAGTGCAACTGTACATGAGCAGTGGACTCTCAGATCAACAGAGGCGGCTCCTAGTAAGTCATGCCAAAACGTGGGAAGAGTGGAACCTATAGAAAGCTGCGTAAATAGGGGTAGGCCGTGTATGACAAAACTCGCATGCATCGATGTGGCCATACGTGTTAAACCATACGTGCAGAAATGAAGGTGGAAACGGGGCATGCGAGTAAACATCACTGACAGTGGTCAGGCGGTCTCGGTGTGTCCGGCCCTGTTGCCAGGCGACATTGTATCTGTGCTTGAGGCTAGCATGGCTAGTAGAGAGAGCAAGGCCGGGTATTGGAATAGCAAGCCACGGTCAGACGGTTCGGGAAGCAGAGCACTGGGCTGGGACTCTATATTACGGTGATTCACGAGCCAAACGAAGCAAGGGATTTATTCCCTCATCAAACCGACGATCAGTGTGCTAGCTGAAGAGTGAGAGTGCATTAAAGAGGTAGTTTAGTGAATTCGCAAAAAGGGCGCTGATGACTGATGCATGGAGGAGGATATGCAAATTTTGAGAATAGGGAAGAGTGGTCGTCACCGAGATAAAGGCAAATAGAGATAAGATGAAACGCATAGGATGAAATAAAGGAAAAGAGATCGTATGCATATCCGAGAGGTAGCGAGATTCGTATATTCAACAATTAGACCAGAACGAGACACCTACGAGACTAGGGTCATTAGGAATAGTGTAATAGGAAAAATCGAGAAATAGCTCATTCTAGCCGATTGTTTGCAATAAATTATGTCTTAATCCCATGCAAAACTCCAATCTCATGCCTGGTGGCATCCGAGAAGTGTAGAAAAACGATCAGGCCTAAATGCTTCTTGTCCAAAACTGGCCCAAGAAATCTAAAAGTAGTCCGAACCCCAATAACAATCGCTGTAATAATCGCTGCTAAGCAAGCAGGAATGGAGTTGTGGGCCTCTAAATAAAAGGGCTTGAGGAAGAACCTGGTGTAGTATGAGTGACTGAGTGGGCGTAGCAAAAATTGTATACATTAGAATTTACGACAGCACACATGAGAGTGCATGTAATCTTGAAGAGATGAAATTATTTGTCGTTTTAGCCCTAGGGATAATTGTAAAATAAAAATAATTATTGGACATAAATAAAGAGTATATCAAAGTAAATGATGACGAATATGTTAAAGACAACAATATAGAAAAATATTCGATAATATTAAAAAAATAAAATATTTGATAGGGAAAACAATCAAAATAAAGTTAAAATGTGAGATGATCGAGTACCATTCCTAATGGGTTTGCTAAGACCAATGCAAAAAGGGTTTTTTTCAGACTCTCTCCTCTCCACAGGAAGAGCTTGGTTATTCATTAAAGTAGACTGTCATACAATCCGAAAGTGATTTGAATAGAATGAGTCCAAGTTCAGGAACCACGCGATCCACAGGACAAAATAAAAAGTTTTGAGCATAAATGGGATATAAACGGAAGGTTCTTGTTATGTTAATAAAGTAGAATGAGATGAGAAAAGTCGAAACAGGTGTTAAAGCAAAGACTGAGTAGAGATTGAGGTGGAAAAGAAGGGAACAATGCTAAGTGCTAGAAAGGAAGAGAAAACGGTAGGATCAGGAACGAGCTTGATTAGGCAATCCTGCCACCAGCGCATAGGGCCGAAATTACAGCCTTTCTATCCATTCCAAGAGGCTTATATCTTCATTGCCACTGATGAAAAGGTAAGGATGTTTAGAAGAAAATACAAACGATGTTAGAGCATTGTTACGTACAGTTCAGATCAGTAAACGAATACGAAATAGATTGATTTAAATAGAAAAATAGCTTCACAGACTTATAAAGTTTTGATAGTTTCACAACGAGCTG